CACCCAGGAGTCGCGCTCACGCTTAGGATTCCCTCACAGATTACCTAGGAATCGGGATCTCGCTGCCCCTCGTGGCCCCGTTGCAGCCCTTCGTGGCCTCCTCGCTTTGTTTCGTGGCCCCGTTGCAGCCCTTCGTGGCCTCCTCGGTGCCCTTCGTGGCCCCGTTGCAGCTTCTCGTGGCCTCCTCGCTGCCCTTCGTGGCCCCCTCGCTTTGTTTCGTGGCCCCGTTGCAGCCCTTCGTGGCCCCCTCGCTGCCCTTCGTGGCCCCGTTGCAGCCCCTCGTGGCCCCGTGGCAGCCCTTCGTGGCCCCCTCGCTGCCCTTCGTGGTCTCGTTGCAGCCCTTCGTGGCCCCCTCGCTGCCCTTCGTGGCCCCATACATGTATGCCCTTCGTGGCCCCCGCTCGTTCGCGCCCGTGGTTGCCCCATATCCATGCCCTTCGTGGCCCCGCTGTCGCCCTTCGCGGCCCCCTCGCTGCCCTTCGTGGCCCCGTTGCTGCCCTCAGTGGCCCCGTTCTTGCCCTCCGCGGCCCGATATACGTATGCACTTCGTGGTCCCCGCTCGTTCGCGCCGGTTTTGGCCCCATGTGCATGCCCTTCGTGGCCCCGCTGTCGCTTTGTGTGGCCCCCTCAGTGTCCTACGTGGCCCAGTTGCTACCTTCAGCGGCCCCATCGTTGCCTTCTGTGGCCCCGCATTATCTGCCTTACGTGGCCCCCGCTCGTTCGCGCTCTTCGTGGCCCCATACGCATTCTCTTCGTGTGCCCGCTGTCGCCCTTCGTGGCGTACTTCGTGTCCTTCGTGGCCCTGCTGTCGTTCTCTCTCGCTCTCGCTTTCGCTCGTCGTCGTCGTCGTCGCCGTCGTCGTCGTCGTCGTCGTCGTCGTCGTCGTCGTCGACGTCGACGTCGTCGTCGTCGTCGTCGTCGTCGTCGTCGGCGTCGTCGTCGTCGTCGTCGTCGTCGTCGTCGTCGTCGTCGTCGTCGTCCTCGTCGTGGTCGGTCCCCTGTTCGTCCCTCTGGGGGTCGGGTCGGCGGTCCGCGGCCGCCCCGCCGCTTGCCGGGGCCCGGCCTCCAGGGAAGAAAGGTATACCCCCCAAAAGGGGTTCGATCGAAGACGGAGAGGGCGGGTATCGAGGGTTTGGGAAATACGCGTTAACGGACACTCGAGCAGATAAGGGCGAGCAATCTTAAAATGTTAGTTGTTGTTGTTGCTGTTGTTGTTTGTTGTCGTCGTACCACCCGCGACCCATCCGCGACCCACCAACGACCCACCCCGCGACCCACCCGCGACCCACCCCGCGACCAATCTGCAACCCATCCGCGATCCACCCGCGACCCACCCCGCGACCCACTCGCGACCCACCAAAATTGACGTTTACTAAACGGCCCTGGGCATTTACTGAACAGCCCTGCCCTGTTCGATTCATTCCTTGTGTACATTTACTAAACGGCTTCGTTTGTCGGGGTGATTATTATGCGGTGGGCTTGTCTGCCCTCTACACCCGCGACCCACCCCGCGACCCACCAATGACCCACCCGCGACCCACCCCGCGACCCACCCGCGACCCACCCCACGACCCATCCGCAACCCATCAGCGACCCACCCGCGACCCACCCCGCGACCCACTCGCGACCCACCCCGCGAACCACCCTCAAAGAGAAAACACCACCCGGACCCGACAATTGACGTTGACTAAACGGCCCTGGGCGTTTACTAAACAGCCCTGCCCTGTTCGATTCACTCCTTGTGTGCATTTACTAAACAGCTTCGCTTGTCGGGGTGATTATTATGGGGTGGACTTGTCTGCCCTCTACACCGGCGACCCACCCGCGACGCATTCGCGACCCTCCCGCGACCTACCCACATTGGTTAACGAAAAAATCGGCGCCTGCGGCGGGCTCGTTGTATAATTTGTGAAACTTGGGCGCCTGCGGCGGGCTTCTCCAGAGTGTCTCAAACTGCAGACGTCCCCACCGCCCCCTCACTCTTTTCCGCATCTGCGGGGTGCTACGTATTATTCTGATGATTCTGACGGAAAGAATGACGGATGACGGGAGGATGGGACGGAAGGAAACGAAAGAAGAAAGGCAATAATGACGGAGGATAAGGAACGCACGGGACAACGAGACATGCGACCTGACTAAACATGATGGAATACGGTGTACGGAAGGGTTAAGAACGACCGCCCGCTCAAATATTGATCCTGGGACTCGTCATCTGGGAGGAAAAGGTCATCTGAGCCACGACGGGCCCTCGAACGGGCCCGAGCCACCACCCAGACGCCCAAGGACACGGCTTCCTCCCAGGAGAGTCCAAACAACGCCACGCATCTCTGGAGGTCTGGCTGCGGTTCCGACCTCGAAGGGTTCCCAAGGACGGGGGTCGAAGCCGAAACAGAAACACACGGAGTAGGACTTGAACATGCTGCCGGGGGGACCAGCTTCGCTTGGCGGAGCTAACTCGGGGAGCAGCTCCAGCCTTCATTTGGGCGCCAAGAACTCCATGCCACTCAGAGACACCAACTTCACCTGCTAAGCTCAAAAGTGCTTCTTGGCAGGGTGCTGACCACTCGAAATCCAAGCCAACTGGCGTTCGCGACCAGGAGAAAGCACCCCCGAGCAATCAGACGCGAGGGAGCTCCGACCACAGTGGCCCTGAAACATGCAAATCGCCCCGCAAGTAGAGCAAAGCGCTAGCGAATCCTGGGGCCTGTCAGCCTCGTCGGTGATTTGCGCCTCAAGACTCGCATGGCCTCGACCAGGCCATACATGGAGCAAAGGCCACTCCACCCTCGTAGGGTCGGGTGGTTCGGCGGCGAGCGAGGGGGCGAAATGAGAAGGAGGAGGCCTTCTCAGAAAGCGGCGGGGCTTCTCAGAAGCCATCCGGCCCCATGCAACATTTTCTGCGTCTTCGGCGAAAAAGCAGAACACTTCTCAGAAAGCCGGGGGACTTCCGAGACTTCCGAGGAGGCCCGCCCCCTCTCGCTTCCCCCCCCGGGGCTGGCCGCCGAATGGTGGCCCTCCGCCGTTCCCGCCCCCCCTCCCCCTCCCTCCGATCCGAGCAGCTCTCGCCCACCACAAGAGGAGGAGGCGGCGAAGCGAGTGGAGGAGCATCCAGGCAAGATGGAAAGGAGGACGCGGAAGCCTGCGCCGCGCTGCGCTCTACCTCCCGCTCTCTCGCTCTCTCTCTCTCTCTCCCTCTCCCTCTCATACATAGCCTCAGCCTCTGGGATCGCCTCCAGATAGACAGATCTCAACCCAATCAGACCGAGGTGATCACTCAAAAAATCTGGTCGGATAATTCAGCCTCCATCGAGGCCCAGAAAACGCACATCCTGCGGTCCAGCTCCTGGA